GTGCTGGGTGATACCTGCAAGAAAACAACCACACTCGAGAGCACCAAAGACTTCAATCCTCTCTTCTGTCGATCCTTGAAGTATTCCCAGGGTGGTTGAAATCAGAAGAGCAAATGAAAACCTGCCCCTTGTTACGTGTTTGCCTGGTCCTCCCTAAACCAGGAGGTGAATTTTTTTTACATTCTTGTTATCTTTAACGATATTGTTATCCAAGATTGTTCCCCTGTTGATGATGGATACTAAACTACTACATTGTTTTCCTCCCACAGGTGACCCCAAAACTTGGCAGAACAAGTCTCTTCCCGGAGATCCAAATTATCTTGTTGGAGCCAATTGTGTGTCAGTTCTAATAGATCACTTCTAACCCTTACCTTAGTGGGTGGATCTGAGTGCGAAACCAAGATTTTAAAAAAGAAAATCAGACCAAAAAAACAAAAACACACAAAAAATCAACAAACCACCACCTGCGTAGAAACTGAACCACTCTTTTCAAGTATTAACCCTTCTCCTAGTATTAAGCAATCTGTGGTTTGACTAACAACAGCTAGTCAGAACGTTCTTGAACCATGATCAGGGTACACGCGTTTGCAGCAACTAAACCGGTCTACAGGGGCCACGCAAAGTCCTCGCGGGCAAGCCTCTCACCTTCCTTAACGGGACACTTTTAACGCATCATAGCTTAAAACCTTAAACTACCACAGAAGCAATGCAATTTAGTGTTCCCCCCCCCCCAGGTTCATAATTCACTGTTGAATTAGGGGTGAATCTTTTTTTGTTGTTTGTTTGTTTCTTTCGTTTATTTGGTCTTGTTAAAAGTTTTCTTCTCCTTTTTTCCTTTTTAATTTAAAAACCGAACACCGAACACCTTGAACCATTCTTAGAAGAATATGCAAAGATAACACCATTCCTTCATTTTTGTTTGTTTTTGGTGGGTTGGGGGGAAAAACCTGGTAACCCGAGGGTTTTCCCCCCTCCATTCCCTGGAGGCAAAAAAAAAAAAAAAAAAAAGATTTTGCTAGCACAATAGTGGGAAATTTGTCTTTCTCTTGCCCAGGATTAGCTGACCTGCTAGTTCACCTGTTTGTGTGAAGACCCTCTCTTTCCCACGCCCCTTTTGTTACCGAGAAAAGAGAAAAACGCATGGGGTTCATGTGCCTCTCGAAATTCGCCACATCTGCGACAGACCACGTTATTTAGCAGCGTTGCCTTATCCTCCTGCTTTTAACATAGTTTTTCATTGTCATCGTAGCTCACCGTGCTACTACTGACCTAGAGAAATTACGACGGGGGGGGAGATGGGTTGTTTGAGGTTGTGTGAATATGTTCACTGGGAGACCAAAAGAGAGTTAGTGAAATCCTGGGTTTTGCATTGTCCAAACGGGAGAATTCTGAAGAACATAACGGTAATTTTTTTTCTTTTTTCTCTCTCTTTTTTTTAATTTTTAATTTTGTTTTCTGCTATGCATTTTGGAAAAATTTATAGATGTTCTAGATTGCTTGTATATAAAAACTTGTGCGTACCACTTTTGTTCTTGGTTTGTAAATTAACTTTTATAAGCTTTACCTTTTTTATATATATATAATATATACGAGGATATGTATTATATATATATATGTATGTATATATGTGTATATATATATA